GGTACTGCTAAACATCCAACAATGTACAGGATAGCCCCCCACCACAAAGAATTCTCTAGTCCCAAATCTCAGTCATGCAGAGGCTGAGAGAATCTGCTCCAGGCCGTCATTTAACCAAAATGATATGTACATCATTGGTGGTACATAAAGTGAGTTTAGGACAACCTTTGATAAAAGTTTTAATAGTCACATATTTATTTTAGCATAAGTTATAAACACGATTAGCATATAAAACCTATGACTACAGAGATATTATTGCTTAAGATGAGGCTAAATTAGTATTTAAAGTTTTTTAAGTGTAGACTTAAAAATTTGAAGTAAATAATAGTGTAAATGGACTTTATGGCACACACACAAAAAAAATTGAGTGTGGGTGTGATCAAGGTTTAGGAACCACAGATTTAGACCAGCGGTCAGAAAACTTTGTCTGTAAAGAATCAGATAGAAAGTATTGGAGGCTCTGTTGCAACTACTCAGCTGTGCCATTTTGTTGTAAAAGTCACCATGACAGTACGTCAACAGATGAGTCCTTTCACCATCCTGACCATTATAATCTAATGTCTAAAGTGAATCCTTTAAACTCAGTGCCCCAGGTGTGGCCTGACCATGGCAGGGTAGAACACTCTTACTTACCCAGGTTAGTAGGATTTAAAATATTTATAAAATAATGCCCATATTTTACAAGTGTTATTGACAAGGCATGATGTTTCCTCCACCTTGCATGTGTATAGTTAGTAGGGTTTGTGTTTAATCAAAGTACACAATCTTACAAGTATCACAAATCAACTTTTGGATTCAGCATATTGAAACAGGGTGGGTTCAAATTCCAGCTCCTTCCTTTACTACGTGTGTCTTCATGGGCCTGTTTATTACCCTCTCAGAGCCTTGATTTCCCGCTTAATAACATGAAGATGCACCTCCTGCAGAGTTGTTATAAGGATGAAATGAGATACTGATGTGAAAGTTTCTAGAACAGGGGGTAACACACTCAGGAAATGCTGGCTTTTTTCTCTCCCTTCTTTCCTCTCTACCTCCGTTCTTCCACATATTTGATGAGGTTGGCCTTTTGTCATTAACCCATTGATAAAAGTGCCAACCAAATCAACAACCACACTGAACCCACAGCCCTGCACTACACCACTAGATACCTCCCTGAAAATTAAAAATGATCTCTTTATTAATACCCTTTGAATGTGATTTGTCGGCCACTTACAAATGCACCTAAATATCAGTGATTCCAGCCCATATTTCTTTCACTCGGCAAGAACAATAAACAACTTTGTGTCAGACATGGTGCTAAGCACCTGATACAAACATGAATTAGACATGGTTCCTGCCCCTCAAGGAGCCTACAGCTTGGTTGGGGAAGGGAAGATAGTAAGCAAACAGATGTTCACAATTGTCACAATTGTGGAATCTCACAAGAACATAGGCAAAGTGTTGCCTGAGACGAGTAGTAAAAGATAAATAGAAATTAACAAGGTGAAGGTGGGATGGGAGAGCGTTCCAAGCCAAGAGCTTGCAGTACATTCTTGTGCATGACCAAGGGGTGAGGTAGTTGGGAACAGAGGCTGGGTGAATAATATGGGTCACATTGTGCAAGGCATTGCATGTCATGCTATGGTTAAACAACTGCTTCCAGGCTAATGGTTTTCACTGTTCTTAGCAGTAAGACCTATCATTTAGAGCACGTCTTTAAGTGACAGCTCCATTATATAAAACCAGCATTACTAAGACTGTAGTTCAGCTGGGTGTTCCCCTTCCTGCCCACAACTAGCAGGGATGGAGGCCAAATGTAAAAAGATGCTACCTTTAAGTTGATTTAGTTCTTTGCCTTGAATGGTATAGCTCATAATGTGTTAAGTGGGTTTTCCATTGGTGTCACCCTTAGAGCACTGGTCTTGTAGACTGGGCAGGCATTCGGAGTTCTGATGAGTGAGACAACTAGATCAGGGTCTTAAAAGTTGCTCTAACAACAGTATGGAGAATAGACTGAAACTGAGAGTGTTTTGAAACCACTTGAAAAGCCATTTCTGTAAATAACAACTAAGGGTCTCACTTAAGGGCATGCCAATGGGACACATCACATGCACCAGCCTCTGAAAACAGTGTGGTTTACCCACTTTTGCAGTTGAGTAAGCTAAGGCCCAGAGAGGTTAAATAATTTGCTCAACATCAAGAGATCGTAAGTGGCAAAACTTGGACTCAGATTTATGTCTTGACTTCTCAAACTGAGGTGCCATAATAAGCTTTCTAACCTCCTTCTCAGCCAACGCTTCTCTCATTTGGCCTTTCTTGCTATTCTGTGGTTCTCCAGAGTTACCAGATATATGGGATCATCTGGGTCTTTGGCTTCCTCCCTCTCAGCACCTCTCCGGACACATAGTTGGCAGTCAGTGGATATTTATTAATAGACTATTTCAAAACACTTTTGGTGGATTCACCTGGCTTCCTGGAAAACACCTTCATCCTTATGGGAAATTAGACATTAGCTGCTAGATTCACACTTCAGGAAGGTGACCTGATTGGCCAGGCAAGGTCTCCAGCTGTTTTTACAGCGCCCTCAGCAGGCAGTCGCTGGTCACCGTGGCTGGTCCCTATTTTACAAGGCTGGTAGCATGATACCTACTACCTAGCAAGGCAGCTGGGGGATCCGCCTTATAATCCTGTCTACTCAAGGTCTCACACTTCCCGTGTGTTTTTGAAGGAAGAGACACCAGTCTCCTGTTTATCACAGACTACCTGTGAGGCTGTTTCTTATCTTCCTTTGCATAATATTTCTCCTTTCTCTATCCTCTTAAGGCACCTTGGAGCCTTCTACCTTGAGGAACTCGTGCTTTCTCATTTCCAACGTTTATTTCCTCAGAAGATTCGTCCTACCACACAAGAATATCTATTGGCTGCTTTTCATCCCTTGCTCCTAACTGTCATATCCCCAGATCTGTGCCTTTGTAGGAACCATTAATTAAACTATAAATGGGGGAGAGGAGGAGGCAGAGGTGGGCAAAACATGGGCTGTGGAATTACATTTTTGCCTCTTCCATCCCTACTTCCCTTAAGATCCAACGTAGAAATCCAGGCACAGCTGGTATGCAGTGCGTGTCATTGCCTGATGGAAGGACCGCCTTGTGAGGGGGGCAGTGACGCCCCAGTCAGCCACCTTTCAGTCAACTATTATGTTTGTCACCCTGGAGGCCATCTATCATGTACCCCACCTTCTTGCTCTCTTTGCCATTTATATTAAATTAGGTGGGAAACGGATCCCTTAAACTGCTAATGTCTAATAAGGTGCTGCATTTTTGTAAATGTGTGATTTAATCTTACTCAATAGTTGAAGGTTTGTTTTGTTTTTAAGTTGATTTAGTGCATTGCCTTGAACGTTCATAGCTCATAATGTGTTAACTAGATTTTCCATTTGTGTCACTGAAGAGTTATGTGAAAAATACAGAGAGAAAAACAGCCCTTGGGAAACAATGGAAGGAAGAAAGTTAATTGAATTTAAATTAGACGTAGCAATAATTTAAAGCGTAATTGAAAGTTTCAAAGGAGACTATCATGTTCATATGTCATGAGTAAGATTGTTCTTTTGGATAAACTAGTCTAATGTAAAATTTTTGATATATAGTATTACCTTGCACTCTATTTCCTTGTGAATGTCAAACGCTTTTGGATGGTAAAATGCACTGAGTTTCCTATGTTTAGAAATTCCTTAAATGAAAGATATAAATTCCACTTCTAGTTAATCTGAAAAAGAATTATAAAATTTAACTATGTGTTTCTGGCTCCATTGTTCTTGCTGCACTTCATTTAGAGACAGTCATAGAAAGGATTCTAAATTGCTATTGGAGCCTAGGATAGACTCTATTAAGAAAATAACTACTTTATTTTTGAAGATATGCGTTTCCTAATTTTCCTATGATGAGCTTATGTGGCTTTCATTATGAAACAAATCATTTTTAATTAAAAAATATATTTTATCTGAGTTGGCTCAACTTAAAAGGTAGAATCAAGAATATCTTCATCATTGCTTTCTGGAAAATTGACATACAAAAAACATCATACTGGTGTTACCTGTGGTTGCTGAGGGTCTGACAGCATCCTTGGGAGAGAGCTTTTTGTATGTCATCCTTGACCATGTCCAGCCTGGTGTTCATGCATGGGTCTCCGGCCTGATGATCCCACCTCTTCTCTTTCTTTGCATCTCCATCCATGACATTTCAAACAGTCTCTCCCACACCCACTCCCTACCAACCACTCTGTGTAGCTTTGAAAGCTAGAATCTCATGCATTATCATTTTCTTTCCTGGATCTCCAGCTTCACCATCAAGTTAATTCTTTTACTCCTCCTCTGAGACAAGTGGGTTGCAAACGAACCTCCCTTTGCACTTGGAGGTATCGATCTTAACCAGAAATATTTGTGGAATTAAAATTCTGTTTTTATTTTATTTTATTATTCCCTCTTTTCCTCCTTTTTTTTTTATGTGAGGAAGATTAGCCCTGAGCTAACATCTGTGCCCATCTTCCTCTGCTTTGTATGTGGAATGCTTGCCACAGCGCTGCTTGAGAAGCAGTGCAGATGTCCATGCCTGGGATCCAAACTTGTGAACCCCTGGCCACTGAAGCGGAGCCCATGAACTTAACTACTACGCTACCAGACCAGCCCCTGTTTTTATTTTTTTTAATTGTGGTAAATACACAGGACAGAAAATTTACCATCTTAACCATTTTAAAGTGTACAGTTCAGTGTCATGAAGTACATTCACATTGCTGTGCTGGCATCACCATCATCCATCCATAGAATTCTTATTTCCTGTTCCATGCTGCTACTACCATCAGGAAACTGCTATCCTAAAATGTTTAGCTGTGATGAGAAATGAGACTTCAGTTGCCCTGTAGACGCTTTGTCTCTTGGGAGTGGACAACTGAGTTTCAGAAAGGTTCTGATGCATTTATAGGATGTGTTAGCCAGAAGGAATGTCTTCTTTTCTCTTTTTAAACAGCTCTGAGCAGCGGGTCCCCTGTTCCACTTCTTACCACAGCCCTGGTTTGCACTCGGGTGATGGTGTCACAAAAGCAGGACCTCTGGGCCTTCCGGAAATAAGACAAGTGCCAACTGTTGTGATTGAATGTGATGACAATAAAGAAAATGTGCCTCATGAATCAGACTACGAAGACTCTTCTTGCCTGTACACGAGAGAAGAGGAGGAGGAGGAAGAGGACGAGGATGACGACAGCTCATTGTATACCAGTGCGTGCATCCCAGGTCTTCACCGAGGTGGGAGGGGTGTGGCTTATGGAAAGAGAGCTGACTGAGCTGCCCAGCACTTTCAGTTCTAATCCGGGGTCTGGTGTCAACTGGCCCTGGGTCATAGGGTAGCTCAGTTAACCTCTTGGGGCCTCAGTTTCTTCACCAGTAAAATGAAAGGGTAAATGTTCTTCATGCATCCTCATAGCTCTAAAAATTGCAACACCATGCTACCACCTCCTACTTCTTAGATGACTCTTTCTTTCTTTGATTTCTTCCCTTGGGATGCAACAACTTTCCCTCAAAGAAAAAAAGGCAGGGACCCCTAAAATTCAATTTCAGGCTGCAAAATACTCAGACATACTAACCACTGTGTATGCAACAAATTCATTTTTAAGCATATCTCAACAACTTTAGAAGACCTGAATTTAAATTTTTTTAATTGAGGTCACATTGGTTTATAACATTATGTAAATTTCAGATGTACATCATTATATTTTGACTTCTATATTGTCTGCATCATGTTCACCACCAAAAGTCGAGTTTCCACCTGTCACCATAGATGTGTGCCCCTTTACTCCTTTCAGCCTCCACCCACCTCTTCCCCTCTGGTAACCACTAATCTGTTCTCCTTATCTGTTTGTCTGCTTATTTAGCTTCCACATATAAGTGAAATCATAGGATACTTGTCTTTTTCTGTCTGACTTATTTCATTAAGCATAATAGCCTCAAGGTCCATCCACATGGATGCAAATGGCACAATTTCATGTTTTTTATGGCTGAGTAGTATTCCATTGTGTATATATACCATATCTTCTTTATCCATTCATCTATTGATGGGCACTTGGGTTGCTTCCACGTCTTGACTATTGTGAATAATGCTGCAATGAACATAGAGGTGCATACATCTTTTCGAATTAGTGTTTTCATGTTCTTTGGATAAATATCCAGAAGTGGAATAGATCATATGGTATTTCTATTTTTAACTGTTTTGAGAAATCTTTATACTGTTTTCCATAATTACACCAGTTTGCATTCCCACCAACAGCATAGGAGAGTTCTCTTTTCTCCACACCCTCTCCAAGACTTATTTCTTGTCATTTTAATAATAGCCATTTTGATGAGTGTGAGGTAATATCTTGTTGTAGTTGTGATTTGCATTTCCCTAATAGTTAGTGATGGTGAACTTCTTTTCGTGTGCCTGTTGGCCATCTATATATCTTCTTTGGAAAAACATCCATTCATGTCCTCTGCCCGTTTTTTGATCAGGTTGTTTGTTTTTTTTGTTGAGTTGTATGAGTTCCTTATATATTTTGGAAATTAACCCCTTATCAGATATATGATTTGCACATATTTTCTTGTTTAAGGCCTTTAAATGGGCTAAGAGAGAAGAAATGAAGAAAGCAAAGTTCAAAATCTATCATTCTGGCCATGAACAATAAATAAATTTTAGTTAAGTGTTTATAGACTGATATTTGGTCAACTTTTTAATTAATGAATTTATATAATAGCAACCTTTTACTATGTATAAACTGTGTGCCTGACAACTTGCTAAGATTTTCTTCTCTTATCTATGTCTTACAACACCCAGTGGCACAGACTCTATTGCCCCATGTTATGGATAAGGGAAGAAAGTGGAGAGTAGGTGACTTGCCCAGAGCCTCACATCTATAAAGTGGCAGCGCTGGGATGTGATGCTGGCTGCGTCTCATTGCAAAGCCCATGTTCTTAAAACCAGTGGGGGAAGAAAGAAGACAAGCAGTATAAAACAAACCCCAAATCCAAAGAAGGAATCCAGCAAACTTGCTGCTTCCCAGTCTCTTCCTCTTGCTTTACTTACCAGACTTCAGAGACCCAGCTCAATTCGAGCCGGTCAGAGTACTGGTGACCCATGAAATGATCACAGTAATGTCAAGGAGAGAACCACGGAGGGGCAGCCAAAGGTGGAAATGATTCACGAGTGGAAGGAGCAGCTGCTTAGCCTCTGCTCGCCGTTTCCTGCCAGAGCATTGAATGTTTTATACTACAGTCTCTCAACCTCGGCGTTATTGACATTGTGGACCAGATAATTCTTTGTCGTGGGAGCTGTCCTGTGCATTATAGGATGGCTAGGAGCATCCTTGGCCTCTACCTACTAGATGCCAGAAGCAGTCTCCCCGCCAAACCCCAGTTTTGACAACCAAAAATGAGAACCATGGATTTATTCCAGATGGGAGGCAGCCCTGCCCTGGCTGCTCAGAACTTCTTATGTTAAGAAGAAAAAACAATCCCAGAATATTACCTATTTCAGTGACCTCAATTCCATTCCAAACTGACCCCACTCCGTCTGCTCAACTTTATTTTCCTTTACATATGCCCAGCTCCACTGGAGCTCATCTCTTTTGTTTCCTGTGATTACCTGGCTTATTCGTCATCTGTGAGCTTTCCTGCCTGAAGATGTCCACTGGCTTGCTGCCTGTTCACATCTCATCTATCCTGCAGGTGCCAGCTCCTCCTCCTCTGTGAAACTTCCCATTCTTACTACAGGCCTCTGTCCTCTCTCTCCCCTTTGCATTCTGTTGCACTCCACAGTCTGTCTTTCCCTCCTTTGCAATATTGCCTGCATGCTGGGAGTTCTTGGAGAGCAGAGATGCAATCACAGGCTCCCCATGTGCTCCTACTTGCCCAACACACTATTAGGCATGTAGAACATGTTGGTTGCAGGAACTCCATCAAAGTGGCCTTTGAGGCCTTAACCACTCTCAGATGTTGAGCCCATGGTGTCTGTCTTCCTGCCTTTTACCTTGTGGGCCACGGTTGGCCCTGTGGGAGGCCAGGCAGGTTTGTGTCAGCATTAACTGAAACTTGTTTCTCCCTTCTGCAGGCTCCCTGGCCATGAAGGTGTGCAGAAAGGACTCCTTAGCCATCAAACTCAGCAACAGGCCCTCCAAGCGAGAGCTAGAAGAAAAGAACATCCTCCCCAGGCAGACAGATGAAGAGAGACTGGAGCTGAGGCAGCAGATTGGCACCAAGCTCACCAGGTAGGACAGCAGACCCACCAGCTCTGTGGGTTTTAGGAGAAGAATGGAGACATCAGTCCTGAGTGTCTCTTGAAGAGGTTACTGCAGAAAAAGTCAATGGAAAACATCCCATTTTCTTTTCCAGGGTTGCTTCTATAGTCCTTTCCCCTTCACTCATCCAAATCTTGCAAATTTTACTTGGTTAAAAGTTCAGGGAGAAGCTGAGCGGCAGGTTTCCAGGGAGAATAACCATCTGTGGAAAGATCATCACCATCCAGGAGAATTGATGACCTGTATACATAGGAGTTGTCATTTGATGAAGCACAAAGCAATCAAATAAATGCCCTTTCTGCTATATTATACAACCAGAAGAGATCACTGGCTGTTAGTGATGCCTCATTGCTGAACTGTGACTTCTCTTGAGTGATTGCTCTTGTGTATGGACATTATAGACGGTCATAGCAGTATGTTATATTAATAGGTTAACACCTATGTGTGTATTTGTAATGTAGGCCATGTTTATATGGTATTAGCTAACATTCGTGGAGCACTTAGTATTTGCCAGGCATTCTTCTAAACATTTTACATGTGTTAAATCATTTAATCTTTGAGCTGCCCTATGAAATGGACCTTTTTCTGCCCATTTTACAGATGAGAACACCAGACACAGAGAACTTTAGTTACCTGCGTAATGTCACATGCAATGGCCCCAGAGGGCTCCCTGTCTATAACAGTACTTATCACATGAGCCCTTCCTTGGTCCCAGGCACAGTGCTAAGGGCTTGATGCAATGTGTAATCGTCTCCAGGGTTTCATCCTGACTCTCCCTCTTACTAGCTCTATAGCCTTGAATAAGTCACTTATTTTCTTTGCCTATGTTTCTGCGTTTGTAAAATGGGGAATGGTAAGAACAAACAATATAAGTAAAGCCTTTGAGACAGTGCCTGGCCCGTAGTAACCATGCAGTTAGCTGCTGCTGTTATTCCGTTTTCTCTACCTGACAACCCCGTCAAGCAGCATTCATTGTCATCTTCTAAGTACAGGAGAGGAAACTGGTGCATAAACAGGTTACAGCTGCAGAGACGTCATCCAACAGTGCGCTGGTGTTCTGCCCTCCCACCGGCCTCATTTCATTACTTAAGGGCAGCTTCTTTCTCGTCATTGATGGGTTTACTTGTGGAGGAGGTTGTTTTAATGGTGCAGGGCTGTGTAAAATGGCCAACACTGATGGATGATTTGGCCTTGTGTTATGCACTCTTTAGAGTCACAGAATGAAAATATCTAACCACCTGCCACACACTCATACTCGTTGACTGCGGTAACATGTCCACACTTTGGTCATCCAGATCTCTCTCCATCCCTCAGTGATAGTTCTCACAGCACTCCGGAGAGCCTGTCCCTTGTTGGAGAGCCGGATTGTTAAACGTTCTTCCTTCTATTGAACTGAAATCTCTGTCCATGCAACTCCCACCTATTGGTCTTATTCTCTTCTCTCTGCAGCTACGCACAGCCTCTCCCTCTTGACATGCTTGCTTTAGGGTACTTGGAGACAATGATCCTGGCCTCCCCAAGTCTCCTCTCCTGGACTATGTATAGCCAGGTCATATCTCTGGGGGTGGGTGGGGTGGGTGGATACAGTTCTGGTCTGCTTCCTGACCAGCTTGTTCAATTTTACACCTAATACAAACAGGGCTATCCTTTGAGGGGCTAAGAAAGAGAAGGAGCACATCCTTGACCCCAGCCCCTCTGCACCCATCTCCTACCTCCTTAGTGTGGGCATCCTTTATTGTAGTTCTTTCCCCTCACTTCCCATTCACCCGGCTCTGCTAGAGTACAGCAGAGCCCCAGGTATGTGGGGAAAATGGAAGATTTCTCTGCAGATGTCAGTGAGATGCCAGCACATCTGGCTGACCAGAGGGGCATCTTCTGTGGAGAGAATGAGAAAGATGGGAGATACAGAAAGCAGATGAGTTTGGTTGGCCCACATGTGTGCTGCCGGCCACTCTGCTTGTCCACTGTAGAGCCGTTCCACCTGGAGGTAACTGACAGGTAAAAGAGGCCCTTGTTCTTCCAGAACATACTCCCTAAAGAGAAACAGCCCCCAGCTTCTTGTGCCTGAATCCGTATCCATATACCACCGACATGACCGGCTGGCAGTGGTAGTGACAGAACCCAGAGATGGGAAGAGACATAGGTTATCCCTGCATTAGAAGAAGTTCTCTGCATTTGAAGCCTTATCCTTGTAAATCAACCCTTTCCTAACCCTTCCTCTGTACCAACACTTAAATACTGCTTAGAATTCATAAAATCCACTGAAGGATTACCGTAGTGTGCATCCTCTTCCAGCCCTCTTTCACCCTGGCCGGTAGAGGAAGAACACACACTGACTAGAGAGAGAAGGATGGAAGTAGAGAGGGCCGTGTGGGGCATATTCTAGGTGTTGAGCTGGCCTGCATCCTTGCCCTGAATCCACTTTGTCTTTGTTCACTCTTTGAACTGGGAGTTTATATCCTTGTAGTAAGATCCGGGGCATCTCTGGCCAGATTACAGGAATTAGGTCTAAAGGAGAGGACATCAGGAGTGTTTAGCAGATTGACAAGGTTGTACAGAGTTCAGCAATCAGGTGGATAGGCCAAATCTGCGTCGCCGGGTCTTCTCTGAGGTAGTGCAGCCACTGATTCACACCCAGGGGGTTTAAGGACTTTTCCCTTTAGAATGAGAACCCAGCTTTGTGCTTCCAGCCACTCACTCACCCTAAAGCCAGGGCGGAGTGAAGGGGAAGTCTGAGAACCAGAAGGTGACGGTGGCAGAGAGAGAATAACCTGAGGTCAGGAGCCTTGGCTTCTAGCTCTGGTCTGCAGTTCCCTCCGTAGTCATTTGCCCTCCCTGTGCCTTTATTTCCTAATCCAAGGGGATTAGACTGGGTCATCTGATCGCCATGTGCGAAATGTGAGCTTTATTATCATAAAAAGGAAAAGAATGTAGCAATCTGTTGTAGAGTTTGCATTTCTGAAACCACAGGCCTGCCGCCTTCTTTGGCTATTTGAGGTAGCAAAACTGTGCTGGAAAGCTTAAGCACTTTGAAAAGCTTGCAGCCAAGTCTGCAGTCCTCATGGAGTAAGCAAGATATAAAACATAATTTTAGCCTGACAGTTTTAATAGCATAAAAAACCCAGCAATTCAGCACTTCAAGAATAATTCCAAATTGGGGGTAGGGAGCAGAAACACCAAGTAAAATGATGTCAAGCATTAAGGCAGAGTTTCTACTTAAGAATGCAAAAATATTAATCTTCCAAAAATGTTTTCTCATTGATGCTGTTGGGCAGACTCTCCTGAACCTCAGTCAACAAGGCATCTGGATGTTTTGATGATAAATAACTATTTCAACCAACCGCCATTTGAGAAGTGTGGGCTGCCCTTGAGACATGAACATGATCAACTGGGTGCACCATCGCACTGCTCCTTACCAATGCAGACTCAGGATGGGTGCACACAGAACCAAGGGACGAACAAGGCCATCTGCCTGGCTGTGGGGGGGATGAAAATACCAGAACATGTATTTAAATTTCTTTTATATCATTCTTTTTAGGTTGATTGCTTGTGTCTATCTTCTGATGTGCGTCACCCATCAGTGCAGTAGTATTTGTATGTAATGTAGATAAAGAAATGGCATATGTGGGGATACATGCTTAGATTTTTATTGCTAGAGTTCTGAAAAAGCTTAGAGTCCACAGGTCTAAGGGTCCCTTCTCGGGGCTCTGTGGGCAGGTCTTTTTATCTCTGGTGACTTCTAGTCCGTGGAAATGTGGAGACCTTAGGGCAATTCCTTACCCACCAGAGCCCCCCCCAAATGCAAGCGCATGCTGCTTTCTCTCTGGGTCCCTTCTCGGGCCCTTCAACCTGAACCCTAGGAAGTGGTCAGCCTAACTGTGTGATCTTACTATGAGATTCACTTCTAGTTCCCTTCATTCACCAAGCTTTTTATTCCCCTAAGAAAAATATTTCATGCATATGACTCGAATTTACCACAAAATCATCATTTAAAAAATTAGACATGGAGCCATGCTTCTGTATGTTCGTAGTTAGGGTGACCTGGCAGGGTGACCTCTTGATCAGCAGTGCCTTCTGGCCCTTCTCTACTTTCCAGCTTGGGGAGTTGATTGGTTAAAGAAGTGAAACCCCCCAAAGGATGGAGCTCAGGACCACTGGGAATGGGGTATTCAGGGACTAAAGAGAAGTTTGACACCTAAATAATGCTTTTGTTTCTGAAACATCCCTTAGAAAGTGAATCATTATGTAAGTTAGCAGGACTACTTATTTTACAAGGAAGGAACTAAGACTCTGAAACTTGACCTGCTCATGGTTCCTCAACAGCCAGTGCACTTAGGCCTCTTCTTGGAGAAGAGCAGCCTTCCCGACCCCGCTGGCCCAGGATCTCTCCAAGTGAGATCCTTTCCTCAGTCCCCTCCAATACCCTCTGTAATGTTTGAAGCAGACAGGGGGAGGAAAGGCCTGGAAACAAAAATACAACAGAAGGTGCCTTGCAGCGTATGTAGGAGTATGTAATCTAAATTAAGCTCAGGAGTAAATGAGGATTTGGGCAGTCTGCCTCCCTGACACACTTGTTCCCCTAAAATAGCTCTTTACCCTTAAAATATCACCCTCCTACTATGGGTGAACTGTCATCATCGTTTTTGCCGTCACAGTTGACCAGAATTTTTACAGCACCCATCTGAGCTGGAACAGCATAGCCCCCACTTAAAACTGAAAGCGTCTCTATGGGGAAGCTCTTGGAAGGCTTGCTTGGTTAGGGAAAGAATCTTTCTCCTTGTAATGTCCTTTTCCTAGATCTGATGTAGCCAGTGATTAAGGCCACTCACCTATGATTCTTCCCAATGATCAAAGGAAGATGCTGGCTTAATTCAAGCTACTTGGAGTATTAGTTTTCTAAAGCTGCCATAACAAGATATAGACAAACAAAATTTATTGTCTCAGTTTGGAGACTGAAGGTCTGAGATCAAGGTGTTGGCAGGGTTGGTTCCTTCTGATAGTGATGAGGGAGAGTCTTTTCCCTGGTTCTCTCCTGGCTTCTGGTGGTTTGCTGGCCATCTTTGGTGTTCCTTGGCTTGTAGATGCATCACCCTGATCTCTCCCTTCATCTTCACTTCTCCCTGTGTGTGTCTCTGTGTCCCAATTTCCCCTTTCTATAAGGACACCAGTCATATTGGATCAGGGCCCACCCAATGACCTCATTTTAACTTGATTGCCTTTATAAAGACCCTGTCTCCAAATAAGATCACATTCTGAGGTACCAGGGGTTAGGACTTCAACATATGAGTTTTAGGGAGACACAGTTCAATCCTTAACATTTGGGGAAGTATAAATTGGCTCTACCTAGAAATGCATGCTGGGCCCAGATAGATATCAAACATGAGTGAAGCAGGCGGTTCCAAGAGTGTTAACAGGGACTGTTGGGAATGGGGGCGAGACTGAAAGTCCACCCCTTATCTGAAAGGGCCATTGCTATTCAGCTTCAGCCCCCTGTCATTTTGCAGAAACGAAGGACCAGTTTATCAGATTTTCTGAAAAAAATATGGATTTTTTAAATCGAAATTCGAAATTTCTGAAACATTATACAGACCAAGCAGAATATATTTATGGGCTAAATTCAACCCAAGAACCACATCTCAGCCTGGAGCCCCCTGGTTTTAATCTCTGACCTAGAAGCCACAGTTTTTCCTATCTACAGTATAGTCATAAACTTTATGTGCGTGCACTACAAATTTAGTGGACGTGAGACAGAACTATTCTGTGTGTTGTAAATGTAAATATGGAAGTGTGCGTGTGTGTGTCTGTAGCAATTTGAAATTAACATCCTGTAGGATCCAAATTAAGATGAATGTAGTTATTTATCTGGATTGATCATTAAAGCAAAGTACCACATTCCTAAAAAGAACTTTTGATCCAGCCCTTTCTGTTTGAGGAATTTAAGTCGGGTGGTCTTTAGAATGTTTACAAATGACTACTGAAGAACACATGAAGTTGGATAAAGAAGTTGGTAGAAATAGTTGTAACTACTTTCTTTTCTTTAATGCCCTGGAGTCTGGGCATCAGAAGGATTTAAGGTGAAAGCACCTGGTGAGTGTTGATCGTTTGAATCTATAAGGCATGAAAAGCACACTAAGCACCGTGAGATAGAGCTGATGCAGGAGCCTCCCCTGAAAAGTACCAAAACTCCATCTTCTCTCCTCTTCGCTACTTATCATTGCCATCACTTAAACATCTGTTGTCTTTGTGGTGGCAGGGAGGTGGTGAATGAGATAGCAAGGTGGAAAATGACAGCCTGATCATCCCCCTGAAACCTGTATGTTATACTCTCTTATTTAGAATTTAATAATAGGCTAGAAAGAAAGAGTATTCTAGGTCTGTATTTTATGCTCCTAAGTAGTTCACACTATAGGCAGTATAGGCAGAATATCAAATAATATGTACTGAGGATTATGTGCTGCTTTAAATCATAATACAATGTTCAAGGGAGAAAATTGAAATCCATTTTTTATGCTCGAACCACAGGCCATAAAATATAGTGATCCTG